AACTGGCCGATCATTGAAAGGTGAATAAAGATGCGTCAAACAGACACTATGGTAAATTCATGGATTGCTGGAGACGGACAATGTCAGCCCAGACACGGATCGAGTCGATACTATGATAGTTTAGATGTGCATTTCTTAGTTTATTCATTAGGATAGGCCGTAGCGAGGATATTCATGAACAATCAAGCAGTCACGCTTCCTGGCATTTCTCAATGTATACTGAAACGCTGAGACCAAGAATAAAGGTTATAAATAATCAGTAAGAACGCTTATGCATGTTTTCGAGCTAGGGAATTTCCAGGGGTTTCCCAAGGAATGTGGAAGTAGTCCGTCAGTGTTTACGTCATTTCAAAAACACGGCCTTGTGAAAAACGTATGAACGTCAAATTGTGTCGTTCATACACTTATGAACGTCATTTTCGCGGTCATGTGACCGACCTCTCGTCCAATGGAAAAGCCGTATATCGTGTAAACTTCAAATTAAAAGATTATCACTATTTAATGACTATGGAGATGGTTTGGGTGCTTTACTTTATTATTATAGCATGCCGAAATAAAACCAATTTCACATTCCTTATCATCAAAGCTATGGCTCGTCACCATCATAAAATGGATGTCAATGTGTTTATTTGTTTCTTTAGAGGTACATGTATGCCAATGTGGAGTGTAATAAAATTAAAATCGTGCGTTAAGGCTTATTGTATAAATAACAGATGAACCTTAAACGTCAAAGGGAGTCACGGGTGGTCAAGTGGAGGCTGTAAGAGTTGCGTCCCTTAGGCGTGGCAGTATCTATGATCGCCCTAAATGTTTCTGGGTTTGTCAGCACCTTACTCTGCATGTGGATTTCACTGGTGGGGTAAAGTGTCTAAGTCTTGCATCAGTTCAGGCTTTCATACAAGCTGCCACAGTGTGATATAACTGAAATAGTGTTCAAAGCGGCGGAAAACAAAACTCCCTCACCCCACAATCATATTACACTGCAATAATAAACGTGTAAAAAAATTAATAATATATTTTATTTCTCGTGTACAAATGATCAACAGTAACTACAGAGGGGAAAAATCCATAACATTTCTAAATACATGCAGAACAATACTCAATAGCCAAGCCGTGGACTGTCCGGAGGCACCGGTCACCAATTCGCATCAGTCTTCACGTTTCGCTGTGCAGAGTTACGTCGCTTAGTAGTAGCAGGATCCGCTGATCGTGGGCTCGAAGCCAAGGTTCTGATTATGTTTCTTGCTTTGTTGGCACTGTGCCCATGCTCGGAAGTTTCAACAAATGGGAGCATCATACGAGCTTTTCTCAATAATTTGACACCAATGATATAACTGAAATACTATTCCTGACGGCATAAAGCACAACTCACTCATCCGCACACATTTTGAAATGACAGTGATTAACTCGTCTACACTTCGATGTCTATGTTAGCAATATAGTGACAACTGTTGACTGACATGAATACATACACCATGCAGATGAATATTCGTTGACATGCTCTTGATTAATGATTCTTCTTTCCAGGTAGCCGCTGTAAAATTCAAGATGTCACGCCTATATTGTGGGTAGCCAAAACATTTGAAATTAGATTTTTAAGCATCTTTTAATCATATTCCTATCATAATATGTTCAAGACATAGGATTAGTCATGGAATCGTATTCAAGCCAGGCATACTTCGTAACATTCTTTGTTTAATTTTCATTTCACAACAACCAATTTTGATTTACTTTCGGCATGGACGGTTTCTCCATGTCTTTATTTGCGTCCATCTGCTTGCAATCACGTCAACCATTACTTTTTCTAATTCCAAAGTTACTGTTATCATCGATTTCCCTCACAACTTTCGGTGGTAAAGTACTTTGCCATGATGTTGTCTACTGAACTCGATGCACTGCACATAGTACATTTGTTTAGCATAAGCCCTTCGTCACAGAGCTGCACGGAGCTATCATTGAGGAATGAAGATGAGTGCGGTTACGCGAGTTCCATCGCTATCGAAAAATTAAATGGCAATCGAGAAAATGGGGAAGCAAAGGTTAAATTATTTATTTTTGTGTCTATAAATGTGAAGCAATACAATTTAGTCTCCATAAAATATTTGTTCAAGGTAGTCATTTGGCGTTCTCTGAATTTAGATAGAAGAAAAACTGAAACTTAGGTCGCATTGGCAATAGTTTTAGTAACAATTTTAATAATCCGTTAGCTATTCATACGTGAATACAATGCCTGTTCCCTCAAACTTTCGGTCTATCACATCATCAAATCGTTTGTTTTGAGCAACTGTTATCCAGTTCCTCCAGTCCCCGACTTCACCTGAAACAATAACAGTACATGTCTTTAACTCTTCAGGTAAGTAATACATGAGTAACTCCTAAAGTTAGAAGTACATGATTTAGTCCACAACTGACAACATGATTAAGGCATAAAACGTGCAAATTTATACATAACAACTTCTGATTTATTGCATATAGCGACGTTTCGATTGACACACCGTTTTCAAGTTGAATGATAACTTTTCTTGAGGAAGAGAATATATGGATGTCAACTTCTTTATATGAGGAACACAACGTTTCGAAGTATATGCTTACTTCTTCATCAGGTGAGTGAATGCCATGAGGCAGAGAGCATATATATGTACATGTAAGAACAACAAAATTAAAAAGATAACAAAAGGTGGAAAATAACAAAGGGTAGAAGCTAACAAAGGAAGCCAACAGATGATTGGCGCTGATAGGTGATTAGCAATAGACAATGGAAGCCAACACTTAAGTTATCATAGCGAAGTAAATGGTAATGGACACTAGACACCAACGTCTAGAATGCCAATAAAGCAGTGACTTGAGTAAGGAACGTGTATTACAAGTAAGTCATCAAGAATGCAAAACACGAGTAATTACTTAATTTAGTGATACATAATTAGGTCATCAAGTACGTAATACATGAGTAAGTCCTTAGGGCCTCTAGAAACTGATGAGTCCGTAAGTCCACGCGTAAGTAATACATGAGTCCTTAAAGTCCTTAAGTAAGTAATGCATAAGTTAGTACTTTATATTTTAAGTAAGTAATATATGGATATGACATAAAGTAACTACAACATGAATAAGTCTTTGAGTAAATAATAAATGCCAATACAAGAGAATATCCAACGTAGATTATCCGCGTGAGTGCTTGAGTTGGTGGTGTTGAGAAAGTCCTTAAGTCATAAGTAATTTACAAGAGTAAATCCTGAGGAAAGTAATACATGCTTTAAGGTTTAAGTAAGTAGTACATAAGTACGTCTTTAAATAAGTAAGTAAGTCCTTAAGTGACTTAAACATGAGTAAATGCTTAGGTAAGATTTAATCCTTGACTCATGAGTCCTTAGGTCTGGTAATACATGGGTAAGTCCTTAAGTAAGTAATGTATGCGTAAGTTGGTTGGTTGGTTTTTAAGTAACAAATACATGAGTATATAAGTGAAGATCCGGATTTGAACTGATTTTCAGTAACCCATGCTTGTCGTAAAGGGTGAATGGGATCGGGTGGTCAGGTTCGGTGGCGTGGTTGATGCATGTTATCGAATCCCAATTGCACAGATCCGAGTCACGAAAGCAATATACAGTCAGCGTGAGACGTATTATTCACACGTGTGTGCCCTCACAACAGCCAATACAGTATTTGGGACCTACTGTAAACCGTGTGTGTCCTCACAGCAAGCAATATAATACTTTGGACCTATTCTAACCCGTGTGTGTTCCCACAATAATTAATCTCACCTTTTCTGTACACTCCTTTGTGGCTTTCCTTCCAGATTTCGAACGGATCAGCAAAATCCTCCTTCACCTCCGCGTCTGCAGCCCTCAGCTTCTTAAAGCTGCACGCCTCTGCTATTTCCTGGCAGAGTTCATCATTGACTGACTCTCCGATGAAGTCGGCAACCGATTTGATGTGTTTAACAGGATCCTAAAAAAAACAAAAAACATCAGTGTTATTACCGATATCGAATGTCGTGGCCAGCACCTTCCGATAAGCTAGGCGATACCATTTCCTGTGACATCTTCCACATCACCAATATTCAGTAACAGAATCATGGCTATCGTGTAACATCCGTCTTGTTTTATTCCTATGCGGATGCGGGGCGGTCGGTTGGCCTAGTGGTTAAAGCGTTCGCTCGTCCCGCCGAAGACCCGGGTCGATTCCCGACATGGGTACTATGTGTGAAGCCAATTTCTGGTGTCCCCTGCCGTGATGTTGCTGGAATATTGCTAAAAGCGGCGTAAAACCATACTCACTCACTCACTCACTCACTCCTATGCGGATCCAGGCGTTGGATGCAGGTGTATCCCCACCTATCTCTTTTCCAAAATATATACACATAATTAAACACTGTACATGTTTTAGGTCTAAAAGATCTAGAATACGAATAGAATATCAAATCATTTATAAGATTAATACCTTTTACCGAGTAATTTTATAATATACGGGAGTGTTTCCGATTCTTATATTCGTATTTTTCCATAAAGGTTGTGATAATATATCTTTTTCCTCTTTGACAGAATTTCCTTCTTTTTTAACACTGTAACTAACTCAAGAGGTGATATATCTTCTAAAGATTACATGATTGCTACATTTGAAAAACACAAAACGTTTCCCCTTTTTCAAAGCCTTGTATCCACCCTACGGCTAAACTGCGGGGCAAAAGAAAGGCATAATTCTGTTTAAAGGTGGCCAAAAATGAAGACGAAATTGTTATTTGATGTTAATGTATTTCATACGGGTTTCATAGTCGATATTACATGCATCATATGAATGAGTATCTCACAACAGATGACATGCATATGGCGTCTCAAGGAACATGGGGGTCGCAAGCAAATTTTGATTTTTTTCGAGGGTTTCTTGTATATGCTTTCTGTGATGGACTACATGTGTTTCTAAACACATCTTCTAACTGTACTGATCAGACCATTACGTCTTGTCGACGCAAGACATCTTGGTCTTAAACATTAAAAAATACAAACCTCTTTCAAGTTTTCATAAAACAATGTTAAGATAGGCAAGTCCGGGTTGTCCTGTTTCACTTGCCACCAGTCTTTCAGATAATCGGCAAAACTACCTCCGGGAACTGAAACATTGGAAGCAGTTAGATAACGTCATAAACAAATGTTCATATATAAGCATGTGTCTACGAGAAGCCCGGCACACACTGAAGTAGCAGAGCAGCACTTTAAAATGTATAAATCCCCATCAAGACAGCACAGCTATAAACCCCATTCAAGGAATAGCACTTCAGAGCGTTTAAAAACATATTCAGACAGCGCAGCTCTTCATGATCAGAGCGTTTACACCCACATTCAGACAACACAGCAATTCAAAACGTTTAAACTCACGTTCAGACAGCGCAGAAGATCAGAGAGTTTAAACCCACATTCAGACAGTGCACTACATCAGAGCGTTTAAACCCACATTCAGACAACACAGCAATTCAAAACTTTTAAACTCACGTTCAGACAGCGCAGCAGATCAGAAAGTTGAAACCCACATCCAGACAGCACAGCACTTCAAAACTTTTAAACCTACGTTCAGACAGCGCACTACATCAGAGCGTTTAAACCTTCATTCAGGGAACAGCACGTCAGAGAGTTTGTACCAACACTCAGACAGCGCAGCACATCAAAGAGTTTAAACCAACATCCAGACAGCGCAGCACTTCAAAACTTTTAAACCTACGTTCAGACAGCGCACTATCTCAGAGCGTTTAAACCCACATTCAGGGAACAGCACGTCAGAGCGTTTGTACCAACACTCAGACAGCGCAGCGGATAAGAAAGTTAAAACCCACATCCAGACAGCACAGAATTGACATTGTCATGTTTACTTAATATCAGCTACACATTACCGTACTACTGTAGAACCACTGATTGTCATCCAATTGAAAGAAAAAAGCATTGATGATGCAGTATCTCTCTTGAAACTGGGTCCAGATTCCATGATAGGTTAAACAGTAAAAATCACTTTTGAGCGTCGAAACATTTTGACGTCTTCGCGCTGCTGACACGCTGGGTTAATCCCGGTTAATCGTCTGAGTGACCCAATGGAACTCTGTTTTCATTACTTTCTTTAGGGTAGATTTTCGAAATCATATCTGGGTGACCTATGTCGTTGGTTGAAGTGCACGATAACAACTTCTCTCGGATATATTACACTTTCGCAATCCGCCATCATATATGCATTGCGCTGATACGGTCATTGTGTAGCCAGTTTCCGGGGCTCGACTTAAGCTTGTCTGTCTCACAACCCTGGGCCCCATTCCTAAAAGCGATCTTAGCACTAAGGTGATCGTAAGTCCCATACTTTAACATAGGCTTACGATCATCGTAGCGCTCAGATCGCTTTGAGGAACGAGGCCCCGAACCTTCCGCCCAGCACTTACTGTACAGCTATAGCCTTGAGTGACGCAAGTCTAGATTTTCCACAGGTTCTGAATCCATGGAGTAGGGACAGAGCTTGAGAAGTGGGCCAATACTATGCCTGTCACTTACATGTATACTTTTATCTGATGGTTGTAGAATTTGACCCGAAAAAATCATATTGAACCCAGCAGGTATAGCCCAAATGCAGGAGTTACTAGTGTCGGAATATCAGATTTCAGTGTGGTTCCTTTTCAGTTTTAATGATTGTTTGTGTCTACCAAAATAATATATTTTCAGAGACAATGCGTAAGTCTAAAATGACGCTAACAACCAGGGTAACCGCGTGTGCTCAAAAGACAAAAAAGAGTTTAAAAGTTCTTCCTTTAAAATGTTATCCCTTTGACGAACGTTGTGCTTTATTGTGAAAATGTTAGTATGCAGGACCGTAAAACGACTAATAAAATCTTGGCGTGAACGGTAGGAGTGAGTGAGTCGGGTTTGACGCCGCTTTAAACCGTATTCCAGTTATATCACAGCGTGTTAGCTCAGTGTAGGAGGAAAGCCCGAAGTGATGCAGGTCTCAGACGTTTACCACTTTGGTGCAACCCACGAGCACGGGTATGGCGTTTCTGGCGTGCCCAAGGGACGGAAGTCCACTATGGTGAAGTGCGGCGCAGTAGACGACTGGACTTTATTGGTGAAGAAAATGTTTGTAAACGCATTATATCAATAATGATTGTTGACGTCTTTATGAATTAAATGAATAAAACCTTTCTGCCATTAGATTATTAGAAACATATACATGTATGGTAATAACCCTATTAAACTAATAGCCTTTGTTATTATCACGAGGTTTGATATGACTTAGTAGCATCTAACGTATCACTCACCTTTTCCTTCCAGAAACAGATCCAGAAATTCTGAATACCTCCCGTCAAACCTAAAAAGTTTTTTGGATCCGTTGGCGTGGTTAAAATATGATACGCTGACATCTTTGGGATTTCGCATGACGAAGATTGTTCTAATTTGCTTCTCTACCAGTTTCTCCGGCAGATGGCGGAAGTGAAGATGCGAGTTCAGAACCCGCGGGGATGGCAGTTCATCAATCCTCTCAAACTTCGGCATCTCCAACATGGCTATCTCTTTCATTTTCTTATTGTACTCAGAGTTACCGGCCCTGAGCATGTTGACGATTTCCCACAACCAGTGGGTACCTGGAAGGATCGGAATAGACAGTATTATGTAACTTGGTTTAACGCCTATTTTAATGGTAACTCTGTGTCAGCCAACATGATGTGGCGGCACGTAGTCCTATGAGAGTTTCGAGGGTTTGGGTTTATTGTACATTTTGTCCCACAATGAACCACTGCGGCGTTGAACAACATTCACTCACACACTTGAAATCAAATTATTCAATTTAAAATCACTTACTGAGTAAATCTTCTATCTCCGGTTCTTACCACATTTGGGATATGCCGCTATCATGACGTCATCGTCCCTCAGTTCGAGCTTCTGAACATTTCGGATCATTTCCATATCATCCTCCGGGGTGGTGCCAACTCTCCGAAGGACGCCGTCATTTATGTAGAAGGACCACCCATGACCATTTTCATTCCGGTAGTCCAGAATCTCGGGAGTTCTATGAAGAATGTGTGAGTGAGTGAGTTGGGGATTACTGAACACTGAGTGGGTTGTATCATGACTTAGTGTGTGAGAAAACCTGGCGCAAGTTGCAGACGTTTACTGCTTGGTGCCACCAAAGAGAATGTGTATGTTGCTTCCAAACATAGGATCATAGTTATTGTGAACCTGTTTCCGAACCCGCAGATTCTGGCACTCGCAAGGGACGCAATTCTCCACAGCTAATACTGAATGCCAGTAGTATCTTCTCTGGTAACTAATTGTTTATTTCAAAACAATGTAATGTATGTCCATTATATAACACCAAGAAGAACTTATATATTTTTAAATGGCATCGCTTCAGCAGAAGTTTACTATTTGCTTTAACAGTGTTTGCTTTATTTGCAGTATCTGACTGAAGTTGACTGAAGCTATATTTTTACATACTAGTTCTTTCACTCGATAACTTAATCAAAACAAAACTTCTGATACAACGCGACATACTGACGACAGAGTCTCCAATTCAGCACCTGTGGGGATTCCCATTAAGTCCACAGTCGCAAAGGTCGAATGGGGATTGGATGGTCAGTCTCTGTGACTAAATTTTCGGCATTCGTCACGTAAACCTAATTTGCTTTCTCACCCGACACACATGAATTAACAAAGTACACTAAGGGTCATATACACTCTTAAAAAAACCGCGGAGGTAGTATGTAGTTCACTGAACCTAACTACACAAAAAATCGGGTATATAAATTGAATATATGTTATTGGAAACTTTTGGTGGCCTGATATTCGACAAACAGTGCGCCAAAACGCAGCCATTGTCGATTTGCAATAAACGGCATTGTTTTCACACTTGTTAAAATGCCATGGAGGAAAACAGTGATGCTAAATGCACGTGCAAGTTATGACATTCGTAACTCGTGGTAGTGGCTATAAATAACTTGTCATTCAATTGTCAACATTTTTCATGACTTGTTTTTTTTCATGAAATCTGACTTGGTTGTGGTTCAGGGAAATTTGACAGCAAATCGCTACATGAATCAAATTCTTCAACCTCATCTTCTTCCAATCATTGGCCGCCAGACACTCCCACAACTTGCCAACGCGTTACAAGCGGAATGGCGCAGAATTCCGCAGGACAGAATTCGTACACCTATCCAGTCAATGCCGAGGAGATGCAGAGCCGTGATTGCTGCCCGGGCCGGTCACACGAGATACTGAGTTCAGCGCAACCTTGTGGCCTTATGTGACATGACAATGAACAGTTTTCAATGCCTTTGTAAAACGACAACATGTGACTATCGAGTTCCAAAATTTCATATTTGTATGTATGATATTAAATTAAATATATCGACTCTATTAGGCACAATACATTGACTTAACCGGTGCGTTTCTTTTTTCTTTCTTTTAAGAGTGTAAGAGAAATTATAAGGGAGGGGGCGGATGAGAGGGACATGGGTATATGTACTGGGGATGGGGGCGGGCTAAAAAATAAAACAGTCCTAAGACCAATCTCATCACACACACACACACATACACACACATACACACACATACCTCTATTATTAGTGACCATTTTTTCAAAACATGTCGGGCATTAGACACGATTGTAACTCCTTTAGCCAAGGGAAGGTGCGCCATGGAGCATAAGACCGATCACGCTGACAAGCGAATAACAACCTTGCAAGCGCAGTTGCAGTAGTATTTCCATTGAGTGCGTACATGTACTTGGCCATAAGGAGATCTCTCTGCGTCCAAAATGAGCGACTGTAAATATAACGGCTATCTTCATTTACCTAGCATCCTCAACCGACCATCTGCCCAACACGTTTATCGTCGCGAATGGTGTTACCTGATTAAATACAGTGCATTAACGCAACAGCTTATTTGAGGAGAACATTTACTCACTGCTGACTTCCCATGTTAATCAGTCCTTGTTATGATGAACGCTTGAAACTGACTTTCTTGTTTACTCCTCGCGTCGCCCAGCTATTACCCCAGTCACGTGACGAGAGAGATAGGTGATGATTTATAATAGCTCAATATGTACATTGTTCATTGTCATATTTACGATTGTGGGTTTAACTGGTACCCGTTAATTGTTGTGTTAAGTTTACTGTGCATTTAGACTAAACAGCGACGGGGAATTCAGGAGTTCGAATCCCTGAGTCACTCCGATAATGAACCATGATATGTGTACACCAGGCTGCACCAGTGGTAATTTAGCGTCTACGATATTAGTTCTATAAGAGACAGTTCTGGCGCAGTCCCATCCCATGTTAAGTCTATAGGACTATTTCCCCTCACACGTGTTCCCGCCGAGCCTTGTCCCAGGGCGTGGTGTGACGTCACATCCAAGTCGCGTAGCTTGCCGGGCGCATCTGAACTATATCAGAGATAGCGTACGTTCTGCCACCTAACAATGATAAATCATTATGAACATTATCAGCTATTTCTCACATTCTTCATACCAGCAAATGTAGTAATCATTAATCAACAACAAGAATATTCAATTTCTAGATCATTTTATATACCAGCGCATGCAGAATGGACTTGTGTCGGAGAGCCAACCCAAGCCATCCTAACAACATGTAGGTAAATTTAAAATGTACAATTCATGTAACTTACAGTTGTTCAACACCATTTGCTTTAATCAGTGAATTAAATTTCTTAGGCCAGTGAAGCCATTTTACCAAATATTGTTTCTTAAATTTTTCGCTCTTGGTCTACAGGATTGTCTACTTTTCTCATGTCATCTTCTCTCACATCCACTTTTGAAGATCTGATACGTAGAAGGTGCCCTGAATAACTTTACTATCGTAGCCCTTGACACTGTAGACTGGCAGTCCTCATCGTAGTAAAGTCTTTGAAAGGCATTTAGAAGTGTAACACATGAGCAAGAAAATTTATGGATGTCAACTTCTTTATTATGAGGAACACAACGTTTCGGAGTATATACTTACTCATTCACAGGCTCATGATATAGTCGGAATCTCACAATCGACTCTTTATGCAGAGATTTCTATTGGATATGGAAAGGATTTTATCACTTTATTTATAGCTGTTGGCAGAAGTCTGTAGTTTGTCTGCATACTCATAAGACTGTTCATTGGTGAAATATCGATACAGTCTTGTCGTGGTGGTCTTCAGTACTCGATCCGCTGTCTATGTTTCATTGTTGGTTAGTAAATGTTTTATTTTCCTTTGTTGTAACAACTTCTGAACTTCCTTGGCTCCTCATTCTTGACCTCAATCAGTGGGAAGTCTGGAGGGTTGTCTTTCACAATATCTCCTAATGCTTGGGCTACTATAAAACCTTTCTTGTTTTTCAATTTCCGCAAACAAAGATATGTGGAGATATCGTCAATCACCACCAGGATGTAACTAACATTATTGTTGTCTTTGAAAACTTGACCATAATTATCCATTAATTCGGCTGGCCTTTGGTCATCTATTCCAGTGAACATAATTCTATTTCTAGCAAACGCTCTCCTCAAAGGACGTTGTAAACTGTAAGCTTCCTGCCTCGGAAGTTGTTTTTTATCTAATATTTGCTCAGACATACTTTCCATTTTTTCGTAATTTCTATACACTTCATCAGGCCCAGAATAACTGGCGGGTTTGGAAGGATCACATCTGTCCCAAGACATGATCACACTTTCGCAGCAAATACTGTAATGACTACAATCATCTACAGTGCGTTCTTATACACAATTTAGGTTTCATTATCATCAGTGTCATCGTCATTGGTGTCCTCACTGTCTTCTCAAAACGGTCGAACCACTCATCTATATCCTGTTTGTTCTTTCTCAGCGACATTTTATTGGATTTATTTGTGTCATTCCCATTGTTTATAAACTCGTGAATATCTGCGAGAGCGCCTTAATAAGTTTGTTTATGCTCCAACCACATGAGATGTTTTATGCATTAGCTCAAATCATGCATCATCATTTTCAAATCTTCAGGTCTTATTTTCTTTTGCACTTTCTGACACTCCCTCCTGCGTGTATTTTTCTACTTCTTTCACTGCACTTCATAGGTTTCTTGATTCTAGACCTGTGAAGATCCGGGTTAGAATAGGTCAGCAGGCCTGACCACCCGATTCCGTTAGTCGCCTCTTACGACAAGCATAGTCGCCTCTTAAGACAAGCATGGGTTGCTGAAGACCACCTCTAACCCGGATCTTCACAGGTCTAGAATCTTGAAGCCTTCCTTATTCAAATTCGGTTGGAATGCCTTGAATACAATGCACTGACATAGTTCTGTTGATATCATCGTACAAAGGTTGTCATCGTTTGCACAGCCAGATAAACCTTTGAGGGTAAGGCTGAATCTTCATCCTAGTCAATATTTCCTTCACCAAGTAGGTTTTCCCAAAGGAAGTAAGACCCGAAACAGTCACCCTGAAGGGATGAATCAGAGAAGACGATGGTGGTATTGGAGGGTTGTGAGGATGTTGAGGTTTAGCATCCGTAGCGACCGTAACAGCCATTGGATTTTGGCTAGTAGTCAGCAGGTATTGGTTATCCAAAGAGGGTCAAGAATGAAAGTTTTAAATATGCCTTTGCATATCATGTTTTCTAGAAAATGTTTTACCACACTTTGGACATGCATACATGTTGACACGTTGGTGAACAGCTCGTAAATGAGATTAGTATCATGATCTCGCCTTATATACTGTCCCCCACAAGCGTCAGTAAAACCATGCTAGAGTGGTGATTTCCATGAGAAATATGTTTATGCTTGTACATGACAACTCATGTATGAAATTGTTTTCCCCATTTTCTACAGTTTAAGAAAATTGCTCTTGCTCTTATATAGTCGAACAAACTAATCATCTAATTGAAAGTCATCTGTTGGATAAGCATTAACATGTGAGTTATGTCATATGAGCACCCTTGGCTATATATCATTTAGTCGGACATTAAGTCAACAGTCGATTCCAAAGCTGATGTAATGTATAATACATGTTTTAGTGATATATAAGACATAGCCCTTGATACTTCAAATCAAGATTGTTGAAAGACGAAAATAACGAGCACAATCCCTGAGCAAATGCTCTGCCAACGTCCGTTCTCTGCGGCTGCCGGAAGAACAATGAAGACAATGAAGACATGACACATTTTATGAATAGCAGCTTCTTTTATTCTTTATCACGACGTTTAAGATACCTCATGCTCCTTCATCGGGTGAATGCTGAGTAAGTGCATAATATAATGATACATGTAGATGTATACAGATAACAATATCATGACAAAGCCAATGAGATTAATGTACAAAGATAGCAATTCAATGACGAAGCCAATGGGAGTAACAAGAGAGGATTCAGTTAAGTACAAAGTTTGTTTGTTTGTTTGATTGTTAGTTTGTTGTATAACGCCGCACTCGGCAATATTCCAGCTATATGACGGCGGTCTGTAAATAATTGAGTCTGGACCAGACAATCCAGTGATTGATATTATGAGCATCGGATCCACGTAATTGGGATACGATGACATGCATCAACCAAGTAAGCGAGCCTGACCACCCGATCCCATTGATCGCCTTTTACGACAAGCATGGATTGGTGAAGACCTATTCTACCCCGGATCTTCACGGGTCGTTAAGTACACTGGAGATGTAGTGATGACACGGTGCTGACTAGTGTGACACAAGCAATAAGGCAATCAAGATGTCTACAATTATTGATGATGTGATTATATCACAGTGGAGTACATACTGGGTAGGTACATACCTTGGTTTCTATGATCGTGTTTACATCGTTATCTTGTGTCAAAACGAACATGCCTGCCAGTTTTATAGCGACATGTTTAGATATTCACCATTCATATATACTTTATTATAACTTATCCTCACAAAATGGTAATTTTAAGTACATACATTATCACTAGAGGTTGACGAAGCTACACCATGCAAATATCACTACTTGGTAAAATGGCACAGATACATAGTGTTCTCTATGTATATTCAAATGACCCAAAACAAACAAAACGTAAATTCATCTGGGACATAGTACGTCATATCTTTTCAAAATGCACTATGATGGCATTCCAGACACACACGAATATAAATGACACTATATTCGGCGTTAAAAGGGCACATTACAAGATTCTTGTAATGTATTGTCCGACGTCGCACCAGACGCGGAGGCACAAAGTCCCGCTGTCCCTTCACGTATGAGGGTGCCGAGATCTACAGAAGCTTCAATGAACAGTTACAAAACTACAGTAAACTACGGTTATAACGAAGTCAAAGGGACCACTAATTAAAGTTCTTAATAACCGTAGTTCTTTGTAAGCATATATACATGCTGCATGTATATATACGTTCGTTATATCGGTCAGTTCGTTATAAGCGTGTTCGTTATTAACGTAGTTTACTGTAATTGTGAGTGTAAGCACATGGATCTGCGACATGCTTTGAAAATGATAAGCCCTTGCAGCTATTTGGCAAAATTAGACTTGAAAAGCCCTCATAGGTCAATGAAGCTACATGATAGTAACTTTATTTTGACTGGTGTGTGACATGTTGACCAGGACGTTACTTATTTGTATGATAGCAAACGTTTTTTGGTGCGTCATAAAGTCCTCGCATTTTTCAAACGGTGTGTGCGGCTGTGTGTCGTATAATGGAGAAGTGCCATGGAATTATTGTTATTGGTTACGTTGATGGGTTTTTTTCTTGTGTAACGTGACACGTTTGACCAGTGTGCACAAGGTTATCAGAGAACTGGGATTCTGTGTGAATTAGAACAAAGGGTACGGCCAAACGCAGAGTATCATGGTCCCGAGGAGAGTACGTCAGTACTTCCTGAGAGGACACTGGCTGACTTGCAGTCTCAACTTGAGGAATGTTCCGAGAGAACAAGAATGAAACAGGCATCTCGAGCGACTTATTGGGCGACTGAGATGGGCGGATATGGTCCTCCAAGGATGTAGATTACTGTTGTTCCTGGGCAGTATTCCAGCAGCTTCAGCCTTTTGGGTCTGCATTTCCAAACTTGTATAGGTATAATGGAGCATTCTCTTCCCACCAAAACTTAAAAGAGTGTCATGCGACTCTTGTTCAAACGTTGTTTGATCAGGATATTCCAACATTCAAGGCCTTAGCAAACCTTTCAAAACGGTTTATGGTAGACATGTGAAGGACATTTCTACATAGACGGATCTGTGACCAAATTACTATCCGATGCAATTGCTTATTTTGACTTGTACCATATGTTCCGGTTTTTTTCAAGTGAACAATTGACTTGCCGTTGCATGTGTCAGAATCGTACAATTGACTCTGCTTTAGCAGAGGTTTCTTATAATTGTAGAAATTGTTAGGTTGCTTCAATGACCAATGTCACGGCATCAATCACATTACTTGTCACTACTGAATTTGCTTGCCAAGATTGTAAATTGGAAGTCATGTATGTTATCGGGGATTTGATTGGTGTTAATGTTCACTAAAGTGGAAATATTGCGTTAAGGCGTTTGGCTTAGTGTATCAGTAGCAGATAAAGTTTAAACCTCACAGGCAGTCATGGGTGGTCCAGTGAAGGCTGTGAAGAGTTGCGTCCCTTAGGCGTCCCAGCACCTATGATCACGAGTTCGAATAACGGTCAACCTGATTATGTTTCTGGATTTGTCAGCACGTTTCCCTGCTTGTGAGTTTCACCAGTATGGTAATCGGCTAGGCAATGCATTATTTCGAGCTTTCCACACACTTTCCAAGCGGCCACACTTTAACTGAAATGGCGTTTAACCATAATACCATCACCCTGCCATATATGACATGTCAAACCAATTTATGATACATTTTATTTCTCGTGTACATATGATCAACAGTAACACACACTGTGCAGATGAATATTCATAGATATGTTCTTGATTAATGATTTTGATAATTGGCATTTAGTTTTCTTGACAACACATAAATATCAACTACCTATAGTCAGTTAGCTATTCAAACGTGAAAACAAAGCTTGTTCCCGCAAACGTTTGGTCTATGACGTCAACCATCACTTTAATTAATTCCACAGTAACTGTTATTAACAATTTATACACTACTTCCGGTACGATCGATGGAAAAGTACTTTGCCGTGATGTTGTCAAGTAAAACGGACCAGAATACTGAAGTCGATGCAGTGCACATAGTAAATAAGGCTAGCATAAGCCAATCGTCACAGAGCTGACAAAGCCATCATTGACACAGATGATGAGTGCGGTTACACAAGTTCCATTGCAATCGGGAAAAAAACTGTCGATCGAGGAAACGGCGAGGCAAATATCTAGTTGTCTATGTCTGTGTCTACATATGTGAAGCAATATAATAATTTGGCCTTCACAAATTATTTGTTCTAGGTAGTCATTTGACGACCTCTGAATTTTGATAGTTGACAAACTGAAACTTGCATTGGAAACCGGTTTTTTTCGCAACTTTAATAATCCGTCAGCTATTCATACGTGAATACAATGCCTGTTCCCTCAAGGTTTCGGTCTATGACGTCATCAAATCTTTCGTTTTGAGCAACTGTTATCCAGTTCTTCCAATCCCCGACTTCACCTGAAACGAATAAGTGAGTGAGTGGGTGAGTATGGTTTTACGCCGCTTTTAGCAATATTCCAGGAATATCACGGCTTTCACACATTTTGTCCTTGTCGGGAATCGAACCCGGGTCTTCGGCGTGACGAGCGAACGCTTTAACCACTAGGCTACCCGACCGCCCCCGACACGAATAAGTCCGTAAGTAAGTAATACATGAGTAAATAATGAAGTAAGTAATACATGAGTTTTGTTTATTGTATTTGTTGTCTAACGCAGCATTCAGCAATATTCCAGCTATATGACGGCGGTCTGTAAATAGTCGAATCTGGACCAGACAGTGACTATTTGTACACTGTATATTCCTTCGAGTGTGATTAAGGGATAAAAATAAACACTTCAACAAAATTTGACAAAGGCCATTTACACACACACACACACACACACACACACACACACACACACACACACACACACACACACACACACACATATATATATATAGTAAACTGCGTTTATAACGAGAACCCTTATAAGGAAATGATGGATATAACTAACTGTTTTGGGGTCGGTCCATTTGCTGCATATATGCTGTATATATGCTTGTAACAAACTACGGTTAAAACGAATTAAAATTAGTGATCCCGATCAGTTCTTTATATCCGTAGTTCACTGTATATCACATATTGAGTTCACTATCCCGTGTGAAGCCGATGTGTGAAACAGGTTATTCCTTCAGTTGCGTTCATTGTTCATCGATCATAACTTCCCTCCTCTACCCCGTGCGTGTCCCCACAGCATTCAGTATAGTACTTGGGACCAACTTCAACCCTGATTTTCATATGATTTACAAATACAGAAGATAATGATGAAGTTCACAATAATTTCACCTTTTCTATAAATTATATGAGTCGGATCTGCCATTTCCTCCTTCACCTCCGTGTCTGCAACCTTCAGCTTCTTAAAGCTGCACGCTTCCGCTATTTGCTCACAGAGTTCATCAGTGACTGACTCTCCTATGAACTCGGCAACCGTTTTGATGTTTTTAACAGGATCCTAAAATGAAAACCATCAGGGTTATTACCGACATCAAATGTCGCGGCATTTGTTCAAAACAGGGTTCCAGACAGGGGTAGCAAGCGCATATATATATATATAGAGAGAGAGACATACCCAGCTCAACCTTTGTAATAATTATGATGGACTACATGTGTTTATAGATACACGTCTAACCCTGTAACTTGCAGACCATGGCGTCTTGTTGACACAGGTCATCTGAGCCTTAAACTACAAAAAATGACAAACCTTTTTCAAGTTTTCATAAAACAATGTTAGGAAAGGCAAGTCCGGGTTGTCCTGTTTCGCTTGCTGCCAATCCTTCACGTAGTCGGCATAACCACCACCGGGAACTGAAACATTGGAAGCAATTATCAACATGTATGTTTATATAAGCCTTTATCATACCTCCATGCCAGAATGATGAGATCTGATTGGTTCACGTGATCTTGATACAATACTGTGTTGTCCACTTTGGAGGGGAATAAATTTCTCAGCGGGGGAATAAATCACTTATACCCCGCTTCAAAGCAAAAAGCTGCACGCATTTCACGAGTCAATGGTAGTCACGTGACATGGCATAAGTCTAACCTCAGCTCAATCGAACTGCAACTTTTACAATGTCACATTAAAACAAGTCGGTAAGATAAATTCGTTGTAGCAGGATCACTCGGGGAACATGGGGTTTTATGCCCCTTTAATACCTCCGGCTCGTGGTATAAAACCTGACGTGGGACGCATAAAACCCCATGTACCCCTCCTGATTCTGCTGATTTATAATGTCAACAAGAAGTCCGACACTCACTGAAGCAGAGATGCAGCAGAGCAGCACTTCAAAGCACAACATCTAAACCACAGTCAGGGAGCAGCACGTCACAGTGTTTAAACCCATTCAGGGAGTGACAACTCAGCAAGTATAAACCCACATTCATATAGCTCAGCACGTCAGAGCGTTTAAACCCACAAACATACAGTGAAGCACTTTAAACCTATGATCAGGCAGCAGCGCGTCAGAGCATTTAAAGCCAACATTCAGGAAGCAGCGCATCATAGAGTATAAACCCACGTTCAGGCAGCAGCACGTCAGTGTGTTAAACCCATATTCAAGCCCAGCACGTCAGAACGTTTAAGCACACATTCACAAAGCAGCACGTCAGAGCACTCAAGGCTACATTCAGGGAGCAGTACCCCAATGCATTTAAACCCACATTCAGACAGCAACCTGTTAGATCATTTAAACCCATATTGACGCAGCACCACGTCAGACAGTTTAAACAGCTCAGCACGTCAGATAGTTTAAACAGCTTAGCACGTCAGATAGTGTAAATCCACATTCAGACAACGCAGCCCGTCACAGCCCGTCGGAGCGTTTGAGTCCACATTATGACAACAGCATGTCATAGGGTTTAAACCAATTCAGGCCAAGGAGGCCAAACAGTATATACTCAATTTCAGACAGTGCCGAGCGTCAGAACATTTAGACCCATATTCTGAGTGTTTAAACCACATTCAGACAGCAAAGCACGTCAGAGCGTTTAAATTCACTTTCAGGCAGCAGAGCACGGCAAAACGCTAAAAAACACATTCAGACAGTAGGGCGCGCCAAAATCACTTTTCAGCCATCGAAAAATATTCACAAAGAAAAAAAGTTAAGCACACCCCTATTTCTGAACCATGACAAATGGCAAAAAACATGGCATTGGATGACTGGCCACAGGAGCTGGGCGATACCAATGTCATCGGGTAGAACAAACATTTGAAAACAAATAAAGAAGATATTGGTGAGTTGTGATTGAAATTTACTGACAAAAACATCATGGTAACACAGGTACTGTGTTTGACCTTAGACAATACCTAAAAAAAGTATGGAGCTGCAGGATTAAGTAAACGAGTTACGTTTGATGTTTCATGTGAAAATGTTCCTTTAAGTCTCTACTTCATATGACAACGTGAAACAGATCAGTAGCGGGTATAACCGCCACATGCCCGGATGACGCATTCCACCATACGACTCATGCCTCCAGTCAGACGTTGGATCTGTTGATGGGTCAACAACAACCACTCCTGATGCAATGCTGCTTCCAATTGGCGTTATTCTTGTACAGGAGGATCTCGTGCCTGTATGCGCTGCCCCAGAATAACCCAAACATGTTCAAGGGGGTTCAAATCTGGGCTCATTGCTGGCCAGGGTAGAGTCGTTATTGCATTGGCCCTTATGTAATCCACGACTGCATGCGAAAGATGAGGCGTGGCACTGTCATCCATGTAGTGAGGTCGAGTAGCAGGAGGGTGGTTGTCAAAATGAGGAACGACGACTGGCCTCAAATCGTCCCGGGTATACTGAGCCCCTGTTAAGTTGCCCCTTACTGTGAAAAAATCCAACCTGTAATCATGAGAGATATACCCACAAACCATTACCGAGCCCCTGCCGTATGCAACAGTCGGTTTAATGTTCCTGGGGCTGTAGGCTTTGTTCCGGTGCCTCCAAACTCTCGTTCTTCCATCAGTGGCGTGGAGCAGAGAGTGACTTTCGTCTGACCAATGGATCCGTCTCCAAGTTCTCAGATTCCAGTTCTGTAGCGCAATACACCATGCTAAACGAGCAGCTTTGTGGTGATCTCTCAACAAGGGACGCTTTGTGACTCGTCTAGCCCTCAGTCCAGCTACTTTCAGCCGGTTCCTGACGGTTCTGGTGCTGAAACGACGATTGGGCAACCACAGCTGTTTCACACGAGTACTTGTTAAAATATGAGACGAAGGAGGTCCCTGTCTTCGCGATGTGTCGTCACAGGAGATCTTTCGGTCCTGTACATCACCGGTCTGAGCATGTGTCTCGACTAACCAGCTTACGACATTGTGACGATACCCCAAATTCCGACCAATGACATAACAAGACATTCCTGCATTATGCATGCCGATTATTTGCCATCTTGTGGTGTTTGATAATCGCCTTCGTGCCATGGCCACACAATGTCATGGAATAACTGTTTAAACCGAGCTTAGGAAAGCAATTTTAACGTTTGGATATACTGCTTTTAGAGATACTCGAGGGTAGCATGCTGCACGGACATACCATGCATGGCACGTGAGCTTTCGTCACGCTTGACATCTCGAGAAAACATAATTCTTCCCGTAATTATATCTTTCATGACTGTTACAAATATTGGGACCAAACAAAAATGAAATATATTAGGTAGTGCTTAACTTTTTTCTTTGTGTATTTGTTGACCCCTTTGCGCTGTTAAAGGCTGTTGGCGCCTCGCTAACGCGCTGGGTTAATCCCAGTTAATCAGACGTCTTTGTTATGCTGACGCTGAACTGTAATTGCGTTCTGTTTTTATTCCTCTTTTCAGGTTGTTTTTTTCAAAACCACTGGGTAGTCTTTCAAAATCATATCTGGGTATCCCGTCGAAGAGAAAGATATCAACGAAAGCCACCTTCTCTCGAATATATCACACTTAAACAATCCGTTGTCATAGATGCACTGTATTGGTGCGGCCCTTTTGGACCCATTTTCCAGAGCGTGACTTGCCCTGTCTGTCACACAGCCACTTAACCATATTATTTCCCCTTCGGCCCAGCACTTACTGTACTGCTACAGCTCTAAGTGGAGCAAGTCTTGTCTAGGTTCAGACTCTATGGAAAACAGACAGAGCTTGGGAAGAGGGCCAAAACATATGTCTGTCACTGAAACTTCTATCCGATCGTTGCAGAAGGTGACCAAAAATATGTATTGACCCCAGCACGTGTAGCCCCAATGCTGATGTTACTAGTCTCCACATCTCCCATTTCACTGGAGCTACTTTTCCATTTTAATAGAGTTGTTTGTGTTTATCAAAATTATATATTCATAGAGACTGAGCGTTAATCTTTACTTAGGGTAGCAGCCTAGGGCAATCTCGTTTAAATGTGTTTCCTTAAATATATTATCTGTCGGGTAACGGTTACCTCCCTTTGACCTAGGATGTGGTATATTTCGTGCCTGAATTTTTACTGTGAACTGTATTGGGTTTGATTACTGAGGAAACGTATAGAAAACGCATTGTATCATTTGCTGACTTCTCTATGATTAAAATTAATAAAGCATATCTGCCATTCGATTATTATAAACATACACATATATGGTAATAACCTTATTAAACCATCAGGCTTTGTTAAAATCATGAGGCTTGATGTTACTTAATAGCATCTACATTTTACTCACCTTTTCCTTCCAGAAACAGATCCAGATATTCTGAATATGTCCCGTCAAAATGAAAAATCTCTTTTAATCCGTTGACGTGGTTAAAATATGATACGCTGACATCTTTTGGATTTCGCATGATGAAGATGGTTTTAATTCGCTTCTCCACCAGTTTCTCCGGAAGATGACAGAAGTGAAGATGCGAGTTTAGAACCCGCGGGGAGGGAAGCTCATTAGCCCGCTCAAACTTCGGCATCCCCAACATGGCAATCTCTTTTGACTTCTTGTGGTACTCGGAGTTACCTGCCCTGAGCATGGTGACGATTTCCCACAACCAGTGGGTACCTGGAAGGATCAGAATAGACAGAATTGTGTCAGTTGGGTTTAACGCCGCTTCACTGCGGCGTTAGACAGCATTGACTCATACTAGAAATCAAATTATTCATTTTTCAATCATTTATTGAGTAAGTCGTCTATCTCAGGCTCTTACCACATTTGGGATATGCCGCTATGATGACGTCATCATCTCTAAGTTCGAACTTCTGAACATTTCGGATCATTTCCATATCAGCCTCAGGGGTGGTGCGAATTGTCCGGAGGAGGCCGTTATGTTTGTAGAAGGACCAACCTTGACCATTTTCATTCCGGTAGTCCAGAATCTCGGGAGTTCTAGGAAGAATGAGTGGGGTTCGTGTTAACGTCACTATATAACGGTTTAATGTGTGAGTTAGTGAGTATGACATACTGTTACATAAAATTAGGGGAGTCGGCTAACAATATTCAGTCCTGAGACCAATCTCACCACTCACACTCACTCCGATTAAGGCGTTAATTGGTCATAAAGATATCTTTCTGCGCCCAAATTCAGCTTTTGTAAATGTAAAGATTATCTCCCTTGTCCTACTTACAAGTACATGTTGTGTACATGCAAACAGATTTTCATAACAATAATTTACACAGAAAATGTGGAGTGTTGCTTTCAACAGCTAAGATATATAACCTACTTCGTCATGTACTAGTAATTCACTACGTTTGCACAGGGGAATTCCCGCAAAGAATAAGTGGAGAAAGTTTATGTTAAATGAAAAAACAACCCACGAGGGAGAAGTATGGAAATATAAATTATCAGGTACAGCTTATACCTGTTTCGATATTCTAAAATTTTGTTATACAGCATTGTAATGTTATATCCAGGATTGATTGGATTCAGAAGCAAAAATGTACAAAATGTAATACTTTTGCTATTTTTTTTGGTTTGGTTTGTTGTTGAACGCCGCAATCAGCAATATTCCAGCTATATGACGGCGGTCTGTAAATAATCGAGTTTGGACTAGACAATCCAGTGATTGACAACATGAGCATCGATGCTAATGATTATTATCATCCAAAACTGGCTCCCACAGGAGATATCGCTTGGATGAGATACACTGTAGATATCGCTGCAATGAAATTACATCACAATGCTTTGCAGACCATTTCATGACGTCACAATCAAATGACATCACTAATGGCTCTGCTACTGAAGCTGTTTGCAATACTGTTTACACTGAAGACACTGCTAATTACTGTCTACAAATTGAAAAAGTTGAAAGAATGATGTTGGATGATAAATAAAATCTCACCCTCGTGTCTTTTGATATCAAATATATCAACACTCGTTGATAAAAGTGTCAAAAATCCTCGGCAAGACTCGGAATTTTTCCATTTTTATCAACTCGTGTTGATATATTTGATATCAAAAGACACTCGGGTTAGATTCTCTATTTATCACCATGTCATATTTAACTGTGAATGTCTACTTTCAGAGAGAGATGTATTCTTTTCCAATCTAATTGATAATCTTGATGTTGAAATGTCTGTTAAAATAGAGATGATGGAAGACCATGATATGTTAGCATTCTTTCTTGGTGCAGATAACAATGACATTGATGAAATAACGTCGCATTTCACTATTATAGAATTCTCAAAATATTTATATCAAATTTATCAAATCCTCAACAACTAAGAGAGAGAGAGAGAGAGTGTGTGTGTGTGTGCGTGCGTGCGTGCGTGCGTGCGTGCGTGCGTGCGTGCGTGCCTGCGCGCCTGCGCGCGTGTGTGTAAATAGCCTTTGTCACATTTTGTTGAAGTGCATAATTGTTCATACGAAGGAAAGTACAGTGTATAAATATTCATTGCTAAGTGTGGAAAGGACAATGCCCAATGGTTAAACAGGGTAAAGAATAGGTCAGCTTTGACGAGAACGTGAGCAGTCATTCATTCATTCATTTGTCCACAGACCAAAGTGCATCGTGGACGTTATATATAGTACATGTGATACTTCGCCGCACCTCAAACCAGTACGTAACGTGTATTTGACGGATTGAGCCGAGAGGAGCCGAATGCAGGTCATCGGGATATGGGGGCGTCGTCAACCGAACATCTGAACAGGTTTATCGTCGCGTATGGTGTTAACGAATTAAAAACAGCAAAAGCAATGAAGGATGAAGCTTCTTTGAGGAGAATATTTACTTACTGCTGACTTTCCATGTTAATCCGTACTTGTTATGATGGACGCTTGAAACTGGCTACCTTGTTTCCACAACTTCTTACTCCTTGCGTCACTTCGCTATTACCTCAGTCACGTGATTAGCCAAGGCAGATAACGGTATCCTTTCCCCTAAAAAAAACACATTTCAAAATCACTACAGTCTAAAACTACAAAGATAATAGTTCAGCGGGCAGCTAATCCCCTGCCTGTTCCCTTTATCCCGAAGTGGACTAGTCCTGCAACAAACAAACACAAAAACACCGAATCATTATAATTGAATACTTTTTTTAATGAGTAAGATATAAGATTTTTATATTAACGTTTAATTTAACTCAGTTAAAAGTTATCTTTTTATCGGCATACAGCGCAATGGTAATTCTAAAATTTAAAATCATTTGCAAACTCGATAAATAAGATTAATTTTACCAAAATAATTATCTAAGAAAAATTCTAGAAAAATTAGTTAGATATAAGAAAAGGATTGTAATAGCATAACGGGATCCGCCGTTGCCATGGTTCTGTCCGTTTCATCCCATCGATGATGTAACGATCCAGATTGTTTTTGTGTATAATTAAAAAATTGATGGTGGCATACTAATGGTTCTGTGGTAGGTTTCATCATCGTTAACACCTTGTTTCTTTACCAGTGATTCATAATCACAGACTCATGATGTAGTCGGAATCGTATAATCGACTCTGCTTTATGCAGAGATTTCTATCGGATATGAAACGGGTTTTGTCGTTTTATTTATAGCTGTTGGCAGACGTCTGTGGTTTGACAGCATACTAATATGATTGTTCATAGGTGAAATATCGATACACCTTGTCGTGGTGGTCTTCAGTACTCGATCCGCTGTCTATGTTTTATTGTTGGTTAGTAAATGTTTTATCTTCCTGTGTTGTAACAACTTCTGAATTTCCTTGGCTCTGAATTCTTGACCTCAATCAGTGGGAAATCTGGAGAGTTGTCTTTCACGATATCTCTTAATGCTTGGGCTACTGTAAAACCTTTGACCAGTGTGTACAAGGTTATCAGAGAACTGGGATTCTGTGTGAATTAGAACAAAGGGTTCAACCCAGCACGGAGTAGTATGGTCCTTGGCATCGTCATCAGTGCCGAGGAGAGTACGTCAGTACTTCCTGAGAGGACATTGGCTGACTTGCAATCTTAACTTGAGAAATATCTCGAGAGGACAAGACAAAAGGCAGCTCGAGCGACTTATAGGGCGACTGAGATGGGCGGATATAGGTATAATGGAGCATGCTTTTTCCAAAATTTAAAAGAGTGCCATACGACGTTTGTTCAAACGTTGTTTGATCAGGATATTACAACATTCAAGGCCTTAGCAAACCTTTCAAAACGGTTTATGGTAGACATGTGAAGGACATTTCCAAATGGGACAGATCTGGGATCAAATTAATTTCTGATGCAATTGCTTATTACATTTTATTTCTCGTGTACATATGATCAACAGTAACACACACTGTGCAGATGAATATTCATAGATATGTTCTTGATTAATGATTTTGATAATTGGCATTTAGTTTTCTTGACAACACATACATATCAACTACCTATAGTCCGTTAGCTATTCAAACGTGAATACAATGCTTGTTCCCGCAAACGTTTGGTCTATGACGTCAACCATCACTTTAATTAATTCCACAGTAACTGTTATTAACAATTTAACTCACACCTTCCGGTACGATCGATGGGAAAAGAACTTTGCCATGACGTTGTCAAGTAAAACGGACCAGAATACTGAAGTCGATGCACTGCACATAGTAAATAAGTTTAGCATAAGCCAATCGTCACAGAGCTGACAGAGCTATCATTGACACAGATGATGAGTGCGGTTACACAAGTTCCATTGAAATGGGGAAAAAAACTGTCGATCGAGGAAACGGCGAGGCAAATATCTTATTGTCTATGTCTGTGTCTACAAATGTGAAGCAATATATAATTTGGCCTTCACAAATCATTTGTTCTATGTAGTCATTTGGCGACCTCTGAATTTTGATAGTTGACAAACCGTTTTTGTCGCAACTTTAATCATCCGTCAGCTATTCATACGTGAATACAATGCCTGTTCCCTCAAGGTTTCGGTCTATGACGTCATCAAATCTTTCGTTTTGAGCAACTGTTATCCAGTTCTTCCAATCCCCGACTTCACCTGAAACAATAAAAGGACACGACTAAGTGAGTGAGTGGGTGAGTATGGTTTTACGCCGCTTTTAGCAATATTCCAGGAATATCACGGCGGGGGACACCAGAAATGGCTCTCACACATTTTGCCCTTGTCGGGAATCGAACCCGGGTCTTCGTCGTGACGAGCGAACGCTTTAACCACTAGACTACCTGACCGCCCCCGACACGAATAAGTCCGTAAGTAAGTGATACGTGAGTAAATAATGAAGTAAGTCATACATGAGTTTTGTTTATTGTATTTGTTGTTTAACGCAGCATTCAGCAACATTCCAGCTATATGACGGCGGTCTGTAAATAATCGAGTCTGGACCAGACAATCCAGTGATTGACATCATAAGCATCCATCCACGCAATTTGGATACGATGACATGCATAAAGTCAGCTAGCTCGATTTCGTTTGTCGCCTCTCATGCGAACCTTTGTTGCTGAAGACCTATTCAACCCCGGATCTTCAAAGACAAATTCTTGTGTCCTCAAGTAAATTATCCATGAGTAATTCCTTTAAGTGCAAGTCTCATTGGTATAGACATTTTTTTGCAGATTTAGATAGATCGTTACATCGTTAATGCAAATATCGTCTTCAAAATATCGAAGTTGCGTGTAGGTAAGGTTTATTTGCACTTTTGTCCTGTCACACACACACACACACACACACACACACACACACACACACACACACACACACACACACACACACACATATGGATATGACGAACTGTTTTGGGGTCACGTTCATTTGCTGCATATATGCTTGTAACAAACTACGTTTTAAACGAATTAAGATAAGTGGTCCCTTTGAGTTCGTTATATCCGTAGTTCACAGTATATCACATATTGAGTTCACTATCCCGTGTGAAGCCGATGTATGAAACAGGTTATTCCTTCAGTTGCATTCATTGTTCATCGATCATAACTTCCCTCCTCTAACCCGTGCGTGTCCCCACAGCATTCAGTATAGTACTTGGGACCAACTTCAACCCTGATTTTCATATGATTTACAAATACAGAAGATAATGATAAAGCTCACAATAGTTTCACCTTTTCTATAAATCATGTCGGTGGGATGTACCAAATCCTCCTTCACCTCTGCGTCTGCAACCTTCAGCTTCTTAAAGCTGCACGCATCCGCTATTTGCTCACAGAGTTCATCAGTGACTGACTCTCCGATGAACTCGGCAACCGTTTTGATGTTTTTAACAGGATCCTAAAATGGAAATCATTAGGGTTATTACCGACATCAATTGTCGCGGCCGGCACCTTCCGTTAAACTAGGCGCTACCATTTTCGGTGAAATCGCCCACAGCACCAAATTTCAGTATAGAATCTGTAATTCCCGTCTTGTTCAAAACAGGGTTCCAGACAGGGGTAGCACAAGATCTTTCCCCTTTCAACGGTTCTTCAGGTGTAATGAAAACTTTAACTTACATTGTAGTCCTAGCCAAATATCTATTTTTTTCTATATTTAATACTTATACACCTGTTGAAATCACTTGTTTATATATATATAGTTTAAGGCTTATATGACCTGTGTCAACAAGACCTAATGGTGTGCTAGTTACAGGGTTAGAAGATGTTTCTATAAACACATTTAGTACATCATAATTATTAACTAGGTATATATATATACGTACCCAGCTCAACATTTTTAGACCGCCTCCGTGGTCTTGTGGTAGAGCGTCCGCCCGGAGAGCGGAAGGTCCGGGGTTCGATCCCCGGCCGCGTCATACCAAAAGACGTTAAAAGATGGTACTTGTTGTTACCCTGTCTGGCGCTCGGCATTAAGGGGCTAAAACAAGGACTGGTCGGCTCGGAGTCAGTATACTGTGTCTGAGTGGGGTATTCATGTTAAACTGCGGCATGGTATCTCAGTGAGCTAGCACTATAAATCGGCATCAGTCCGGACTAGTACAAGCAGCCACACAAACACACACACGTACATGCACGTCGCTATATAAGTGCAATAATCTTGGACGCGACGTTAAACCCAATTTCACCTCACCTCACCTCAACATTTTTAATAATTATGATGGACTACATGTGTGTGTAGAAACATCATCTAACCCTGTAACTAGCAAGGGGGAATAAATAATGATGGACTACATGTGTTTATGGAAACATTTTCTCACCCTGTAACTAGCAGACCTTGAGGTCTTGTTGACACAGGTCATCTAAGCCTTAAACTACAAAAAATGACATGATACCTTTTTCAAGTTTTCATAAAACAATGTTAGAATAGGCAGGTCCGGGTTGTCCTGTTTCACTTTCTGCCAATCCTTCACGTAGTCGGCATAACCACCACCGGGAACTGAAACATTGGAAGCAATTATCAACTTGTATGTATATATAAGCCTTTATCATACCTCGTTGCCAGAATGATGAGATCTGATTGGTTCACGTGATCTGGATAAAATACTGTGTAGACCGTCTTGGAGGGTAATAAATTTCTCAGCGGAGGAATAAATCACTTATACCCCGCCTCAAAGCAAAAAAAAGCACGCATTTCACGAATGAATGGAAGTCACGTGACATGGCACAAGTCAAACCTCAGCTAAATCGAACTTCAACTTCCTCTCAATTTTTAATTTGTGTTACTTCTTTTACAATGTCACATTAAAACAAGTCGGTAAAATAAATTCGTTGTAGCAGGATCACTCGGGGAACATGGGGTTTTATGCCCCTTTAATACCTCCGGCTCGTGGTATAAAAACCTGACGCGGGACGCATAAAGCCCCATGTACCCCTCCTGATACTGGTAATTTATAATGTCAACAAGAAGTCCGACACTCATTGAAGCAGAGATGCAGCAGAGCAGCACTTCAAAGCACAGCATCTAAACCACATTCAGGGAGCAGCACGTCACAGTGTTTAAACCCATTCAGGGAGTGACAACTCAGCAAGTATAAACCCACATTCATC